GGATTCGTTTCCCTACAAAGATCCTCTTAATCCCGTTACCATCTTCCTTTCTTTTTTTCTTTTTTTCTTTTTTTTTTTACTTAAAAAATTCCCCAAGGCTTCTTCTGATTGTGAAACAATAAACAAACTCATGGGCGTAGAGAGACACAGACCCTACAAATCTACAATTTTTCTATCATGGCAACATTATTGTGGGTTTTCGTAAAAGCAGAATTTGTTAAAAAATCAACATTTTCGTAAATGAGAGAGCAACTCATGTGGCGGCTTGTAGTATATGTACCAGGCAAAGGACGATCATTACTTTCTGTTGCTCCTGGTCCTTCATGAGTACTTTGTTTGTAGAGAACCTCTGTTTTTTTTTTTTTTTTTTTAAATACTCGTATCTGACAATGCTTATTTTATTTTATTTTATAATTTTATATATTCAATTATTTGCAAACATTATATTTTAATAAGACTATTTATTTTACTGGTTGTAGGTACTTAGGGATAAGAAATAATTGAGGAAATTTCCTTGATATTTTTCTTACTGTACCAGAAGTCTATTTTGGTGGTATTTATATCTTGCATTGACCCACTTCCGAGAGAGAGAGAGAGAGCATATATGAAATGATGATCATGGCATGAGGGTCATCATCACCCCTATCTGATCTTCTATTTCTGAGGAAGTATTCCTCATCGTTGTTCCTAGGTTGGTTTTCATGGTAGCTATAGCTCTATGTTGGCTTATTAAGAGAACAAGTCTGAGATAAAAGGACCTCAGCTCGCACTTACTCTCCAATTTACCACCGTACGACGCCTCCACTGACCACCGACCACCGCCGGCGCCACCGCCAGCACCAACCCTACTTTGATCCATACGTACCTAACTAATTATTCCACTCTTCCATTACGGTAAGTCCTCTCTCTGAGTTATTTAATTACTTTCCACACAAACAAGCAAAGTAACTATTCAACTTCTTTTCCTTTCTGCCTTTCGGCTAATAAATAAATGCTTTTCAACTCTTTTAGTGAATTTTTTTTGGGTTCTCTCGCGGCATGAAATGAACAAGCTTGCAATATATTCAAACATAAGAAACCTGAAGCAGTATAAGTAATTGGCGAGAAGGAAATTGATGAATTAGCAAGTTTATGAGCTTTATGTAATTGATTTGATGGCTCGACAAGTGTGTGAAGACAAATCATCATCTGGATTCTGCTACTCTGATGCATCATCGGGAAATCCAACGATGCTGGTGAACCAGATCCAAGGCTTTGTGTCGGACCCTGAGATGTTCAACCTCACCACTGGCATGGAAATGATAGGGTTTCCAAAGAGTGACACCAACGCTGCCATGTGGAGAAGTTTCATATCCAAACATGCTCCTTCCTCTTCCAAAACCATCAACGACTCTTCCACCACTTTCTACCACCACGACTACAACAACAACAAGCCTTCAGATTTCACTTCTGAAACAAGTGCTGAGAATTTAATCGTGCCGTGGCAAGACGAGGGCGACCACAACAACAACAGGTTACTCGTTGATGACTCTTCCTTAAGGTGCGTGTTCCCTTGTGAAGCCAACGAAAGGCCTAGTCAAGGTCTTTCTCTCTCTCTTAGCTCAACCAACCCTTCCTCTATCGGGTTGCAATCTTTTGAGCTGAGACAAACAAGCCATCATCCTGATTTTGTTTCCAGAGAAGGGTTCTTTGGAAAATCAGCGAGTGTTCAACAGCAACAGATGTTACAAGCTGCGAATCCTTACCAACAAGGACATTTCCTGCGTACCTGGTGCCAGCACAGGATCTTCTGAACGAGTTTTGTAGTCTTGGCGTGAAGCAAAGCGACGTGGGAAAGGTGAAATCGTCGAAGAAGCAGTGGGAAGAGGAAAATAATAATCATAACAACAATAACGGTATCGGTTCCTCGAAGAAGGCTTCTCTCACCTCTCTAGAGTTCGTGGAGCTGCAGAAGAGAAAGACAAAGCTGCTTGCTATGCTGGAAGAGGTATATATGTTTGATGTTTGTTTCCAAATCTCGTTTGGCTTCATTTAAGAGTGTTGAGATTGTACTACAACTACTACTTTTTTGCAAGGAAATAACACCTTTATCCATCGTTCCCCAAAATATGGAAAAAGGTGTGTAAGTAAGTTAAATCCGCGCCTTTACTCCAAGTGAATTGGAATTGGTATTGGTATCTGTCCAGGTCCTTTAACTTTTGAGCGGTGTGTGGCTTATTTGATGGGATTGGGATTGGGATTGGGATTGGGGTCTGTGGATTTTGATTCCTGAACTAACTGAACAGCCACAAGGGCCCTTTCATTAATGACAATTGAGCCTTTTTCATTCACCTTTTCCTTTTCCTGCCAACAACATGTATGCATTATATTTTCATCCCATGCTGGCTAAAGCAGGTTATTAACTTTGGTTTGTGTTCAAGGTGGACAGAAGGTACAAGCACTACCGCAACCAGATGAGGAGCGTGGTGTCGTCGTTTGAAGCCGTAGCGGGGAACGGCGCCGCCACCGTGTACTCGGCGTTGGCGTTGAAAGCCATGTCAAGACATTTTAGGTGTTTGAAAGATGGGATTTTGGGGCAGATTCAAGCGTTGAGAAAAGCCATGGGAGAGAAAGACCCAATTGCACCAGGCACAACAAGGGGCGAAACACCAAGACTCAAAGTCATTGACCAAACACTGAGACAACAAAGGGCGTTTCAACAAATGAGCATGATGGAAACTCATCCATGGAGACCCCAACGTGGCCTTCCGGAGCGTGCCGTTTCGGTTCTTCGGGCTTGGCTTTTTGAGCATTTTCTCCATCCGTAAGTCTCAACTCTCATGCAATTACTAGTTACCTTGCTGCATACTGCATACATTATTGATCAAGTCCCGATATGAGTAACCTACAAAATAGATTTTCCTCAAGAATCAATGTTCTCTCCTAAATAAATAAAGAGAACAAACTGCAACTTGATGCTGCCGTGAGTCTCTCATGCGTAGCGTATAGAATCTCAATCATTTCTGCTTGCAAAAACTATATAGTACATTTTGGTAGTTTCTGCGCATCACTATTCAGATTCCTTCTGCTGTTGTTTCGTCATATTGTTCTCAATCTTTCGTTTCTAACGTGGACATATATTTGCTCCTCTCTCTATTACTAATTTTACTTCTATAATTTTCCTTCGTTTGACCCATTCCCCTCAAATGCTGCTTCATATTTAATTACGATATTGAAGGTTGGATTCTTAATTTTTTAGTGTAAGCTTTTGCAGGTACCCAAGTGACGTTGATAAACATATTTTAGCTCGCCAAACGGGTCTCTCGAGAGGCCAGGCACGTTCATATCCTTCTCTAAGATACACTTCATTTCCCATATTGTTTATACTTTGAAAGAATTACTAAGTGGTCTTGGACCACATGATCATCTCTAATAAATCTCTCTATAACATATATTAAGTATTATTAATTTTTATATCATATAGACATAGTACTTATGGTTGTAAATTGCCTATTAATTTATCTGAGAACCTTGTTATAAAAAAGAATAGACATTAGGTATGAAATGGTTATTATATGCATTCTTGTAAGCATTATATGTTTGAAGCAGGTTTCAAATTGGTTTATAAATGCAAGGGTGAGGCTATGGAAACCAATGGTGGAGGAAATGTACTTGGAGGAAGTGAAGGATCACGAAAACAACATAGCTTCCTCAGAGGGGGGTACCGATCAAGACAATGACATAAACCCAAATGTTCAAAACCCTCCACCTCCCTCATCACGATCAGAGGATCAAAAGCCATCACTTATTCGAATTGACTCGGAGTGTGCGTCCTCCATCGTCAATAACCACACCCCAGATAACAAAAACGACCCAAAGGAGTGCTTTGGGTCGGTGGAGCTTGATTTTTCATCCTACACGCACCACTCCTCGGGCATGGTTTCTTACGATCAAAATGGGACCAACAACAACAACAACGTTAACAAGAGCGGGGTGTCTTTGACGCTAGGGTTACAACAACATGGGGTTAGTCTAGCGTTCCCGCCAGCAACACAGAGTTCACTGTACTACCCAAGGGATCAAATTGAAGATTGTCAACCAGTTCAGTACTCTCTTTTGGATGCTGAACCTCAAAACTTGCCCTACAGGAATTTGATGGGAGCACAGCTACTTCATGATTTAGCAGGGTAAATCCATCATCATACATTCTTCATGGTGAGTATAATCAAAGAAATTAATGAAGATTACTTTTTCTTAATTACTCTTATAGCTACGTACAAAATTATATAGTACACAATTATATACTTGGTTAGATAAACGTACACTTTAATTTCAACATGTGTATGCCTATATAATTTGGAATTCGAATTCGTAATTAAGTCAACATTTATACAGAATTTTTTACTTAATTAATAATTTGTTTTTTTGTTACTGTCCGCTGTACAGTTACCCTACTTTTGAATTGGAATGCTCTTGGGTTCGATCCCGTTTTGATAGGAGCTTCCATTTGGCGGTGAGCTAGTGGCATATAAAATTCGTTTTGGAGATATTTGTAGTTTGTTATGAAAAGAAAAGAATATATATTGCAAAACGACAATAACATTTAGCTGTACAATTTTGGTTGGATGCTAAGAAGAACAAGAATTACAACAACAGCAAAAAAATATCAAAGATAATTGGGTGGTTGTGGTCCCTAATTCACCCTCAAGAAGACAACATCTCGTGCCGATAAGAATTGGTTGCTTTATGATATGTCAACTTTTGTTATTGGTTTATCTGTGCCCCCCTTTCTTTTTGGCCAATATAAGAGATACCGATAAATTAATAAATTTAGTGTTAGAGGTGCTACGTTATTCAAACGATCCTATCACCCCCCTTAATGTTCTCTAAGGAATGCAACTTGTGTGTTAAAGGATGAAAAACAGAATCGCACCTACCACAGATGGATATGTGTTTACATCCGTATACATTTTCGAACGTTTATTGTTATAAAAGTAATACCGTTACTGGTATTGCTTTTCATTTAAACCTGTATTACTATATGAATAAACTAAGCCTAATGTAATTAATTTTCTTTTTGATGAAAGTTTTTGTGTTTGTGTGCACGTATTTTGTGTAAAATTTGTATTTAATTATATCATACCAATTAGCATAATAATGTTTGACTTCGGCTATGTGATATATATGCATATGAAGATTTAACCAAAATACATGAAGAGCAGAAGAAACCAAAAAGAATAAAAATAATAATAATAACATTTTAAAATTAAAACTAATTTTTATTATATGAAACCGAAAAAGTTGTTAAATATATGCTAAGTAAATGAGGCATGTTCATTTTCTTTTCTTTTTATATTTTGTTGGGTTCAAAGTGAATTTAGCATTTCGTATATCCGCATACATGATTTTTCGTTTTTGGTCTAACGTTTGGAATAAGGTTTTTTCTTGTTTATGGAAAACTAGTAGTTATATATATAAAGAATTGATGTGATTTCTCGCTTTGCAACATGCATGTGACCAAACATACATAGAAACAAAGTAAGTGAAAGAAACAAATGGAGAAAACAAGACACGGCTTCTTTCTTCTGATGTGCGTGTTTGTATAAAAAATATATTTTTAAAAATGGGAATTGGCATAATATTTAAAGTTTAATTTTTTAATAATTAGAAAAATATATATATAAATAAGAATAGAACATTTTCATCAAGTAGAAGAAAGTTATAACTTTTTTTTTAATATAAGAAGAAAATAATAATAATAATAATAATAATAATAATAATGATAATAATAATAGTTTCTCTTGATAATAGGATAATACACATATTGTACTAGGGTGTTAGGGCCATTGTTGACCTGTAGGGAGGAGAATGGATGGAAGGGAAGAAGAAGAATTGTTGGATTCCATTGGTGTAGTGAGTAGTGTACGTGAATATTATTGCTGTAGAATGCAGTTAAGTGGCGTGATTAATTAATGAATAGAATATTATTTAGAGTAAGAAGCTAAGTAGAGGCTGGACCTAAAGGATCGTCTTTAATTTCATACGCTGGTGTTATGATATGACATATATAGTCTTCGTCTTCGTCTTCTTCAGTTTCCCAACCAACTTGCCTACTTTTTCTCTTCAAATAAAGCTATTAATTCCTCTCCTTATGTCTTGCGTCTGAGCTACCTTTCCTTTTCCTACGTCTTTCTCTGTCTCTAGTGTCTATGTACTATATAGGTAGACATGTTTTGTTAGATAGGTATTAATAATATAAAAGGAACATATTTTCTTACCCCTACAAAAAATTTAAATCAAAATAATTAAATAACTGCACTTTCTTGCTATCTATGGGATTAATATTCTCATCACTCGTGACTATACTTCTCTCGTTTCTAAATTTTTAAATGACCCTGGGGCAAACATTTACTATCATGTATACCGTGCATGCCATGCAGTAATTAATGAATCCATAAATTTAATTAAGATAACCAAGGTAACATGATATTCTCTTTTGATTAAGATAATCGAAGAATTTATCTCCAATAAACGTGCTCAATACACGCAATCTAAAATTAAATCGACCTTACCCGGATGGGTTTTATAGGTTAATTAATTGTGATAGAGTTGTTTTAGGAGATAAGGTGGTGTGCTATGGAGCATAGTCGATGATCAATGTGAGACAATTGTTATTGCATATTTATGTACGTTGGTTCCCATATAATATTACAGTCTGAATTATGGGTCATCTATCTTGAATTGAAGATCATAAGAGATAGAGTTTATTAGGGATGGGCAAAAGTCTGAGACTCCAGCCATACCCGTATTAATCGAATGGAAAAATAGATTATTGAATGGTTTCAGACAATTTATTTTGATTAAACAGGTATAAAAAAGTGACTTATATAGTTATTGTAGACGGTTGCGGTTTCAGATTTTTGTTTTTCACGGAAAACCAAATCCGACCAAACCTTTGAAAATAATAAACTTGTTTATTACAAATCATGAAGAAGCTGTATGAGTATCACTAAAATTAAAGGTTGAATATTGTAGGAGATTGATATGTTATTTGTCATTGGCTCTTATCACATCAATTTGATAATGGTGGTGCATTTTTTTTTTAAAACAATAAAAAACTTTTGACATTCAACTGTCAAAATAAAGGTGAGATTATATGAATTATAATATTAATTACAATATACACTTACAAAAAAAAATGTATAAATGGACAAATCATTCAACTATTATAAGTTACTGTAACGAGCATAAGGCTAAGGAGGGGAACCATCCCTCAAAAGCCGGCCCAAGAGGTTGGAGAACCTCCCGCCTTATAAGGCCTCCCTGGTAAGGAGACCTCCCCGATGTGGGACTTGTTACATTACCACCCCCTTCGAAAGCCAGCGTCCTCGATGGCTGCACTCCACGGTACTTCACTCACCGGCACTTCACTCGGCCTTCTTGCCGGTCAGAACCCTCCGGTGGTCAGAACCCTCCGTGGGTAGCCCTTCTCGATTTGGCTGGCTCTCAACGAAAGCACCATTGTAACGAGCATAAGGCTAAGGAGGGGAACCATCCCTCAAAAGCCGGCCCAAGAGGTTGGAGAACCTCCCGCCTTATAAGGCCTCCCTGGTAAGGAGACCTCCCCGATGTGGGACTTGTTACAGTTACACATGTCGAAGACATGTTACAACACGAGAGGAATGTTGTGTGCGAGCAATTTAACACCAAAGAAAAAGGAGAAAAAATGCGATTGAAAAAAATAATTATAATGCACCTTACCCGTTACAACCCACCACCCAAATACTCGTCACACCCATTATACCCGAATTTGACAAAATCAAGAACGTAAATGATTAAAATCAATTCAACATATTTTTGTCTTGATTTATACTAGATTTAAATTTTTTTAGACTGAACCCAACCGTATCCACCCAATAATCACCCCTAGAGCTTATGGACAGAGACAGATTAAAGGGGGCGAGTAGGGGCCTTGGCATCCCTCTCCCTCATGGCTTTGAAAAAAAAAAAGTAATAAAATATATTTATTATTCTAAATATATGATTATATTAAAAAAAATTATTAAAAATATTGAATATATTCTATATACTGATGATTTTATAAACTAAAACAATAATATTTATAAGTTAGATAAATATAACATGATGTATTTAAAAATTATGATTTAATATTTGTTTAAATTTATTATTAAAATAAATCTGATCCCTCTTATAGTGTTTTGGATCCGTCCCTATTTATAGATAATCTAATTAGTGAGTCAGCCTCAACACTTAACAGTCAATTGGCTAATAAATTTGCTAACATACATTTCAACTTATGAGAGGAAGTAATTTTTCACTATCCTTCTGATCGAATTCATTTTCCCCACAAACCGATAACAAATATCATTTACAATTGATTTAACGTTTGGACCAACTTCAGTCTGAATAACACTAGTCTTTTTTTTAATAAAAATTAAATTGTTAATGAAAACATTGTGAATTTAAATACATTAATAAAAAAAAATCCTTAATATAAGATATTATTGTATATTATCGACATGTCAGTATTAATAATACACTATTGTTGGTGTAGAGTTTCAAAGTCTATACCAATAATTCAAGTTTAGTTTAATTTCCATTTTAATCTAAAAATTGTGTGTTGGGATGCAAACAAAGTCCCACATCGTTCAAACAAGATGATGGACATGAATTTATATATACACAGTTATCTTCATTGATTGAAAGGTCTTTTGGGTGATGTCCAAGAGTAAACCCACGAGGACTTCTACTCAAAGTATACAATATCTCACCAATGTAGTTTTCTGAGAGTGAATGAGCTCTGTGGGGCCACCATCGGATCATATTAAAAGTATTAGAAATTGAATCTTATTCCTTTACATCCAACAATAACAATAAATTAACTATGATACCAAAATTCTTTAATATACAAATGAAGATTAGAATATCATTTAATTAGATAAATTTCATTTAAAAAAATATGACTTAATTTCTTTAATTACCATTTCTTGAAACTTGATATTAAGAATGAAAATGTTTATTATACAATCCCAATTAAATAAATGACTATTTTAGAAATGATAATATTAAATAGAGTAAATTTAGTTGACATTTATAGTTAGTTGAGACCAAGAAACATAAGTTTTTATTTTACTTAAGATTCAAAATCAGAAGGAAATCAAAATTGTACAAAAATCTATTACTACTAAATAAAATTCTATTATATATATATAATTTTAAAATATTATAAAAATAATAATATATTAGTTATATATATATTACTATTATTAAATAAACAAAATATATATTATTAGTATCAACATATTCTTATATAAATTTTAATTGATTAATGGTATAACCTGTACGCACATAAAAATAAAGCTCTTTATTTTGTATT